AAAAAAAAACATGAAATAAACGTAACTGAAAATAATAGAAGAGCACACCGATTTCGGGACTTCGAAATTTACTTGCAGTAACAATGCTACATAATTAGGGCGTCTACAAAGACTGTGGGCCGAAATCATTGAAAAACAGCTCACGGGAATTGTATATGCCAAATAATGCAGCAGTTTCGCTCGTGTTCTTAAATTTGTAGCAACATTTCTAAAAAAAAAATTACAACATGAAAGTGATTCTTCTTTTTTTTTTTTCAAATAAGAGAAACGAAGGAACGAAACAGAACTGAGAATTAAGGTCATTAGCTATCTCATAAAATAAATTTCTTAAACTACATAAAAACATTATCATCATTTCGTTCTCTACCGTTTTGAACCTCATTTGATTATTATAATTGTCATTTTTCTTTTGAAAATCGGCCAATTGGTGAAGACATTAAACTTTGAGTTCTTTTGATTCAACTCCTAATTTCTTAAAACATTGAAAAGAACAATGAAACATCTTACTTGGACTAACCAAAGGAGTGAAATACTTTCACCAAGTCGATATGCATAGTTTTTTACCTTTAATGTTTCTGTATAATAATAGTGTAAACCAACCAAAATTTTTTCTTGCATTTTATGCACCACACTTTTCGTTTCTTCGGTTAATCCATCGATCGCTGAAAAAGCAAATTTATTTCACATTTACATCAATAATTTTCGACATCATCATTTACTTAAACAGAGTGTCAACCGATAGCAGTTTGAAAAAGACAAAAAAAAACAGAAAGAAAAAAACCAGAGAGAAAAGGAGTAAAAGAACCAAAGCCAGGGAAGTTTCAGCAAAATTTTGGAACAATTATTACTTCTTATATGCTTAATTTCTTATATGCTTGATTTAAAAGTTGATATTAAGAATTGCTTTTTTTCTTTATATCACATCTTACAGTTTTTCTGACACCGTTTCTTAACAAAAAATCTACGTTATAAAATTCTAAATTTTTCAATTTTAAGTTTTCTGTACAAAAATTAAACAAGTAAACTTTACAAGAAAGATTTGTAAGCCACCTTGAGAAAACAGGGTGAGTCCAACAAGTGCAGCTAATTCAAACCGATCAACAGTGAAGTCTCGCAAGTTTCTTACAACATCTATACGTCGACTTATAACGTTAGTCACTACTCTGTAAACATTCATCTTCAATAAAATAAATATCTCAAAAACATTTGAGATTTTTTCGTTTTTTGTCTTCTCGTTTTATCATAGCATGATTTTTGTGGCTAACATGATTGCTAACAAAAGTCAGTAAACAAATTTTTGGCATATTCAAAGTCTTAAAAGTTACCTTGCAAAAACTCTATTCTGCTCAGCAGTAAAGTAACGATCAATACAACTCAGATCCACATAAGTACACAAAGTAGTTGCTACGCAAGTGCTTGACGGATTAGGAAAGTGCATATTTGTTAGCACGTGAGCTTCAATTCCACAAAATGTTTCAAAAAAATGGCGAAAAAGAATCCACTAAAAAAGAAATATCGATAGATAAGCGAATAAAGTTTATAAATCGATTCTAACATATTTAGTTGCTTATCACTTCACTAACTTTTGATTATACATTATTTTAAAACACAAACTTTTTGGTCTGTTGGAAGTTCTCTATAGCATTGAAATGTATCTCTGAGAAACGCTGCAAGTTGATGTCTTGTAATTCGCCAAATTCTAAGCCATTTGCCAAAGGTGATAAACACAAGTTCCTGGAAAGGAACAACTATATAAAAGTCAAACTGCCACTCAACTTTTTTGAAAAACTATCAAAAAGTCTTAAATTGCGCCATTATTTTGAGTCGCCTACCAAAACAAAAAATCGCGAAGTTCCAAAAAAGGAAAAACTAATTGTTTTCTTGTTTCACATCGTCAATGTTGGTAAGAGTGAGAAACAGAAGCTATAAAAAACTAGAAATTACAGTATTGATAAACTGTCAAAATTCTTATCAATTTAGAATTTTTACAGTTGGATAGCCATATATATTTCTCGGAACATCTCGAACTTTTCCATACAATTCCAATACTTCAGCATCAATTCTTGCCTGGCAGTACTTTGCATAACCTATGTAATAAGCAACAAAGTTACGGCATAGAACAGTCTTGAAAGGTCTCAGCAGTAACGAAGCTGAATCATAAATAAAATTTTTTTTATCTTTATTAAATTTTCTTTTTCACTATAATGCTTTTTTCAATAATTTAACATATGTAAAAGCTGCCTAAAAAAGGTGTAATTTTGATTTACCTGCTTCAATTAAAGCAATAATTACTTCGGTAGGTGTTGAAGTACTTACACCTCCCAACATTTTAATATTTCTTGAGATTGCTGTTACTGCAGAAAAAGCTGAACATTTTTCTTCATTATCTGTAACAGCCTGAAAAATGGATAAAAAGAAGTTATATATATCTATTGCTTTAAACCTAAAGCAATGTTTTATTGTTTCAAAACAGTCTTACGGCATTGTTTAATCATAAGCAAAAGTTACAACAATGCTCTGTAATTTTTTGATTCTTTCTTCCCGGCGCAACTTGTGAAGTAGAAATGAGTGTTCATCAACGGCACAAAAACAATGCGTTTTGAAGATATTTGAAAGACATAACTCAAGAGGTGAGGTCGGTGTCGATATTGGGTTACAGACGTTTTGTCTTTTGGGATTCTCACGATTTTTTAATGGATCGCGGTTTGGTTGAACGTCTAAAATAGATGTACTTTCAAAAAAAACATTTGAAGAATGGTTAAACAGATTGTCGCTAAAAGGTTCAGCGTTTTTGTCTGTTCTTATAATTGTTTCTGTCAGAGAAGATAGGGAA